TCAGCGCTACTGTATCAACCCGGCAGCACCCCAGCTGCTCTGCCCCAGGCGTCCCCACATCAGCCGCTGCTGAAACTGACCAGGGGCTGACTACAGGAAGCCCGAGGCAGAGTTGCTCTGCCCTGGGCTTCCTGGAATCAGCCGCTGATCAGTTTCAGCAGCAGCTGACTTGGGGACGCCTGGGTTTCTTAAGTTGAATCTGTATGTAAGTCAGAACTGGCGTCCAGATTCAGCCGCTGTTGAAACTAATCAGTTTCAGTAGTGGCTGACGCCAGTTCCGACTTAAGAACAAACCTACAGTCCCTATCTTGTACGTAACCCGGGGACTGCCTGTTCTTAAAAGCCACCTCCTCCCTTTTTTTCCCCTTCGGTGCATTTCTTATTGGCCCCTCCCCCCCTTTTTTTTCCCCTTCGGTGCATTTCTTATTGGTTTACTTACATTTGTTGCAGGGTTATACATTTGGGGCTGTAAATTCCATCCTTATTGATGGTTCACATTTTTTTTTAAGCAGTGTTCCTATTGAGTGACACATTATTTAAAGTCTACCATAATTGTTATGACTAACGTGGTTTTTTTTGTGTATAGAGAGCACAGTCTGAGCTAGCAGCTCATCAGAAAAAAATCCTGTATGTTGACAACCATATTGGCATCTCAATTGCTGGACTTACTGCTGACGCAAGACTGTTGTGGTGAGTTTCTTATGATAAATGCGTTTAGTGCTCTAGTAACAATAAAGTAAAAAGGCAGACATCTCATACTGTCATTTAATGGGACCAACTAAGAACTTGCCTCTGGTTACTGGTCTTGCACTACTATGCAAGAGACTGGGGTAAAATCCTTGTTCTATTTAAGGAAATGTCAAATTCCCATGGATTTCTTTAGGGCTAGGGTTTAACTGCTTCGGCTTTGTTCGTTATCCAATGACTTGCTTTCCCACGCTGGTCTAGACTGAGTAGTCTCAGAATTGTACATCACACATTGGCTACTAATAATTCCTTAAGCTGGTGATAAAACTCAAGAGAGGTATTCTTTTGAATCCTCAGCTGGCTGCGTGGTTCCAGCAAATGGGATGAATATAAAATGAACAAGAAGAGTTCCTCAGTTGTGTAGAAAAGGCATACAAAGGACCATTTAAATATTCATTGCAATAATATTCCAAATGAATATTTTTTATTAATTTTTCACTTTTCTCCAAATAACCTCTCTCTACTACATATGCTATAAATATCTGTTACAATACTGTACAGATGAAGCATTATTAATTAAAGTATCTGGCATGCAGTCATTTAAACAACAAATATGGGTCATGGTAACATTTAATTTTATAGTGCCTCTTGGCATTTTTGGTCTCCATAGACAGTTCTGAAACAGTAATAAATGTATACATACATATAAGCTTAAAGGGGAAAGTGTCAGGTTGGAGGAATGTCCTTTTTATGATCTGTACGTTTTTATTTGCTCTCTTTATAGTAATTTCATGCGTCAGGAGTGTCTGGATTCTAGATTTGTGTTTGACAGACCTCTTCCAGTGTCCCGTCTAGTGTCACTAATTGGAAGCAGTATCCTTTTTATATTTTTTATATATATAATATATATATATACACACACACACATATGTGACTTTTAGTGATTTCATGCTTTTCTTAAAATTCAATTCATTTTCCACTTTGATGTGTTTAGAACTCTTATCAACATAATTTATTTTATTTCATTTCAAGCAAACATAGCTTTGAAAGTTATAGGAAATAGACGGAAAGATCTTGTTTGTTCTTTGGGAGGAGATTCTTTCCTCATCCATAGACTTAGTAGACAAGGCAATGAAGTGTCATGCAGAAGAACTACTGTAGCACTGGAAACAATGTTTTGAATACCTTTTATATCCATAATCTAATGTTACTATTTCACTCATCTTAGTGCATTCCAGAGATAGGTAATTAAGTGATAGAAATGTAGCCGTGTTAACCTGCTAACCTACATCCTACTTCAGAAGACATTCAGATCTGCACTTGAAAGGGAATCCTCTGAACTGGCATTCATGCTAAAATTCTACACTCTCCGCAGAGGAATTAACAAAGACTCCAACTATCTTACCCATTACAAAGATAGCTTCCCCAATTATCACCTCTGATACTGTTAACTCAGACGTCTTCCTTTCCCCACCTCTAATATCATTGACTCACTGGCATTCACCTTCCTTCCCCCCCCCCCCCCTCCCCCACTCCCCCCCCCCATCCCCCTTCTGTTCTGTAATGTGATTTGTCCTTTTCATGTGTGTTCATTTTTTTTAAATTGTATCCTTTGGTATATATGGTTGTGACTATTTTCTTCCATTATTTGATCTGAGGAAGTGGGTCTGGCCCACGAAAGCTCATCATCTAATAAACCATCTTGTTAGTCTTTAAAGTGCTACATAGTCCTGTATTTTGTTTCAGGTAATTAAGTGTTTTGTATGTCCTTTGTACCTGACAAAAGCAAGTGTTTTTTTTAAATTGTATCCTTTGGTATATATGGTTGTGACTATTTTCTTCCATTATTTGATCTGAGGAAGTGGGTCTGGCCCACGAAAGCTCATCATCTAATAAACCATCTTGTTAGTCTTTAAAGTGCTACATAGTCCTGTATTTTGTTTCAGGTAATTAAGTGTTTTGTATGTCCTTTGTACCTGACAAAAGCAAGTGCATCAAAGAGAAAGGGGATTTATTTATTTATTTATTTAATTGACTAAATTGGCCATGCTAGCATTCTTATATTACTTCACTGAATACACTAGTCGTTTTGGTTTGGGGAAGCTAACTGCTATAGGTCTTATTGGTGGTAAAGAGCTTAAGTCAGATGATGATATCTATTTATCTGGAACAAGCTTTTTCACCATAAGAAACAGTTGACAAACCAGATACCCGAGTAAAACTCCATCAGAACTGCTAAGTATTAACATGTTGTTTGTGAAGATTTCTTAGCTTGTTTAAGAAACCCAGATACCAACACAGCGATATGGCAGAAGACCATATGGTGTAGGACTGCTCATTGCAGGTTATGATGTAAGTACAGTGAGTGAAAAGTGAAATTACTAAAATATTTCCTTTTTTATAGCAACTAACATTTTGTGGAGAGAGGCTGACAGTAGCAGTACTTAGCAATATCCGTATGGCTAGAGGAACCTCTTCTAGACTCTAAAACTTAGTTCTCATAAATGTTTAAATGAAAGTAATTTTTCTGGAGGCCCCTGGAGTGGGTATTGATGTATATTTGTATACCTATGCACATCTAAAGTTATGTGACTTAAAATGGCTAATATTGGAGACCCAAATGAGTCACTTTAAGGGGGCTTGACCATAAGAAGGTAGGTATTTGCCATTTCTATAAATCAGGCCCCTTTAAGGTGTCTCCAAATGGTTATCCAGTTTGTTCTATGTAATACAGACAAGTTGCTGCCCTGATGTTACAGATTAAGTAATTTGAAGGTAGTGGCCTGATAGATTTTTTTTGCATGCCAAAGTTTTTCCTTGAACAAGAAACATTTGGAAATAATGGGGAATGTTTAATATTTATTCTAGGTCATAACATTTATACATCGGGGAAACAATGGGGAATGTTTAATATTTATTCTAGGTCATAAACATGGGAGTTATTCATAATAGAAGCTCAATACAATTTATAAGATTTTACAGAGAAATATGACTTTGAGTACCATTAATTGAAACTTGCATAAATATTTTTGATTGAAGGACATCGCAAAAAGGGCCAATTTAGAAAATTGAGGTTGGAAGCAACTATGTAAGAACAGCAATGTGATGCACAGCATAAAACATAGCTTTGTGCATATATAATACAAATATCATGAGACAGAGTAAATATTTCAAAAATCTTTTTGAAAACTGCATGCTCTCTGGTGAACACTTTATAAAGTTCACACTTTTTTCCCCCCAGGATATGGGTCCTCACATCTTCCAGACTTGTCCTTCTGCAAACTATTTTGACTGCAGAGCTATGTCCATTGGTGCTCGTTCACAGTCAGCTCGAACTTATTTGGAGAGACACATGAGTAATTTTTCTGACTGTGAGTGATGAATCTCTTCTGTTATATTTACTGATTATCTTTAAAATATATGCTCGCTTTGTTTGTCCTTTTTTTTTTAATCTGGCAGTATATATTTACTACTCTGCCGAAGGGGAAGATATAATAGTTGAATAGAAAAAGACAATGTAAATCAGAAGGAAAAAAGACACTAAATGCAAAACACTGCAAGTTTTCATGTCTAACTTTTAAGTTGTTTAGCAGGCCAAATGGAGGAGAAAGGTCTGCCTTGAGAACTTGAGAAAATTCATTTTTCCTATTTGACTATGTTTTTAGAGACAATGCTGTTCCGTTCGTTTCAGAGAGAGGATAGCATTTCAAGATACAGAGTGGGGCAGTCTCACTGGACCCCTGGGAAAGGCTGGGAGGGGCTCTGCTTTGTGACTCCGGAAGGGTGGGGTTAGAGTTAGGCAGCCCTCAATGCTACCCGGAGAGCACTGCACCCCCTGTCCCTGGGGGGCCTTTAGCTTTGCCCAGAGTGCATCACATGATGCTCCAGCAGTGATTTAAAGAGCCCAGGGCTCTGGCCACTGCCACAGTAGTGGCGATAACCAGGAGCTCTGGGCCCCGGGGCGGTTACCCCTTTGTCCCTCCCCCTATGGGTGGGCCTGAAGTAATGCATGTTGCTTGTCTGCACAATATTTAATTTGTAAATAAGAAGTGGATTTTAAATCCCAAATTATTTTTGTATTAGAAGACTTTTTTAGTTGCCTGGGTTATTCAGGGCAGCAGCTGCTGGTGTGGGGATTGCAAGAATCAGGACAGGGCCTTGGGGATGTGCAGGGCTCTGGGCAGGGGGCCTGCAGTGGGTGGGTGGGGGGGTGGGCAGGGGGCCTGTAGTGGGGGGGGGTACAGGAGATTGAGGAGGGGCTCAAGGCAGGGGGCTGAGAGACTGTGGGAAGAGGTGGGGGAGGGAAGGGTCTCAGGAAACAATCCTGTATATTTCACTGTGTTTCTGATGATAGCATATTGTTTGTAGGTAATCTGAATGAGCTAGTTAAACATGGTCTGCGGGCCCTCAGAGAGACTCTTCCTGCAGAGCAGGATCTGACTACTAAGGTAAACACCATGATTTTCCTTCTTACTAGAAATGACAATAACAGAGTTTATTTTTAAGTATTGGGGGTGTATTGTAAGATTTTAAGTGTGGGAATCAAATATTAATATTTAGGTACAATATACTCAAAAATGAGTCTAATACCAAATCCTGTACTATCAGTTCAGAGTCAGTAGATCAGTCTAACTTTGTGTTTGACCATAACAAAATGATACTAATGCTAAATAGAAGACTGTTTCCTGTGTTACACAGAAATTCATGAGTTCACTAAGAGTTTTTCTTTACTTTATTAAATTTATTGATTATTTAAGATTTGTTTAACATAGAAAAATTAGTTACAACATAGGGTAACTCCACTTCATGCTTAAATGTTCATTTACTCTACTGCATTTAATTGGACTCTGCTGTTGTTTTCTTCAAGATAAAGTATTACCTGCATGTTTTGTGGAATTTTTAAATTCACAGAACTGTTTCACCTGAAAACTATATAAAGGGGATTAGTATATTGATTCTTACCTTGTGATTTCTAGCTCTGAAATCTTGTCCTTGGGTTTTACATGTTGTTTTTTTTTCTTCAGTGTAAGGAAAATTTTAGTGTCTTAACATTTTTTCTAAGATTTTTTTTAAATGTATTATGTAATTTTCGTTGTCCCCTTTCTGGCTGCTATCCCCCATTTAAAACTATTTGGCTTAGCGTACTCTTGCACATTCTTGGGCTGTTGCAGACCTCCTGGAGCATAAAATGGAGCAAAAGGTACTTCCAAGACTTTGACATGTCAAGCTCATGGGAATCCTAAACGGTTATGTTGGTCATCTTTGTTTTTGATGTGCTTTTTCTTCTTTACACTTTGAGTTTCATGTAATTAATACTTGGAGTGGCATTTTAAAATATCTAAAGTAGTGATGAAATTTATTTGTGCATTCATGCTGATGTCTAAGTATTCATTAAATATTTTCCATGTCTAGTAATAGTAGTATTCTTGTACAGTGCATTGCTATTGATAAAGGCATAGGGCAATTGGGATGCATAGGGATGTAGGCACAATTCCCATTGGCTATCATTGTGCATTATATGGATAACTTACTTTTAAGTAATGTCTTGAATGGGTTTTAAAATAACTAAATGTAGACGTGTGAATAACAAGCCATGTACATACACCAGGCATTTTATAAACCCTTGAATTTTTAGGCCAATTTCCACACCGGTTACTATTGCTACCAAAAATCCATACCACTAGATATCTTATAACTCTGTCTTCAGAATTTTTTTCCATATCACATCAAGTTCTTCAGTTTAATCATTAATGTTACACAGTTTTCCTGTGTTAATTTACTGTTCTTTAATGTGTCATGCCGCTTTCTAAGGCTCCATCTCTTTGCACAACATAGAGCCAATTTTAGTCCATTCCTTAAGAAGCTTTATAGTTCCATGTATTGATAAAAATTGATAAGATTCTGACCCTGCAAGTAATAATTTGACAGTATTTTTATAACTTGTTAATACCTCACCAGAAATAGCTGAAAACAACCAGAAAAGAGAAAGCTGGCCTTGTTGTACCTGAAACAGTCACACTGCATTTTTGGCTGATGCTGTCTTGGAAGATGATAGCATCCTTGTAGGGAGTGAGCCTCCCTCACTTTATTTTTCTAAGGAAGTCTGCCATAAAGTAAATCTGATAGGAAGGAAGGAAATTTTCTGAAGTAGAGCTGCTATGCCAAATGCATCTTCATCTTAGGAGGAAGCAGTAGTTTATATATTTCTTGAGTAAAAGCTGCATAAAGTCAGAGATTCACAAGAGACAGTTTCTCAGGTTTTTTTTTTTTTCCAACACTGTACTTTACAGAATGTTTCCATTGGGATTGTTGGCAAAAACATGGAGTTTACTATCTATGATGATGATGAGGTGGCCCCATTCCTGGAGGGACTTGAAGAAAGACCACAGAGGAAGGTATGTGACTTAGCTGGTTTTTTAGAATAGCTTGAGTTGCTTCCTGTTTGATGTCGTGTCTATAGTCTTCTCCTAAAAGACTGAAGATGAAGGCCAAGAAGTGTATTGAACCAGAGTAATCTGAATTTCAGAAAGCTCTCAGGGTACCTCTACACTTGCTCCCTAGTTTGAACTAGGGATGCAAATGTAGGTGACCGAAATTGCTAACGAAGCGGGGATTAAAATATCCCGCGCTTTATTAGCATGATCTTGCTGGCGCGTTACTCCGCTCAACAGCTGATTCGAACCAGGAAGTGCGCGCCAGGAGGCGTTAGTTCAAACCAAACCTCTTGGTTCGAACTAACGTTACTCCTCATTTTGTCTATATTTTTGTCTACTCATTTTTTGAGGAGTAACGTTAGTTCGAACCAAGAGGTTTGGTTTGAACTAACGCCTCCCGGTGCGCACTTCCTGGTTTGAATCAGCTGTTGAGCGGAGTAACGCGCCGGCGAGATCATGGTAATAAAGCATGGGATATTTAAATCCCTGCTTCGTTAGCAATTTTGGCCGCCTACATTTGCATCCCTAGCTCGAACTAGGGAGCAAGTGTAGACATAGAATCATAGAATACTAGGACTAGAAGGGACCTCGAGAGGTCATCGAGTCCAGTGCCCTGCCCCCATGGCAGGACCAAATACTGTCTAGACCATCCCTGATAGACATTTATCTAACCCACTCTTAAATATCTCCAGAGATGGAGATTCCACAACCGCCCTGGGCAATTTATTCCAGTGTTTAA